AGTTTTCATCTCTTCTTGCTCTCAAGTTATTCCTATTAACATAGTCAAGTTATCAATGAAATAGTTCATTTGGATTAGATTCTGAAGCAAAAATCGTTTATTTTTTTCTAGAGTAAATAGACTCATTTCTCCCATAACAGCAGACTTCACACTAATAATAAATTTTTCATGAATATTCGCTCTAATTGCTAAAACAGATAAAAGCAGAATTAAGGCTAGATAGTAGAAGTCAGCTAGAGAATCTAATTTAAATTCACAGACGTATGTGATTCCAATATCTTTTAAATAATCTGAAAGTCTATTAGCGTATCTATAATTTTCACGAATCAACTTCTGAAATAGCTTTCTATTTGGATCAATCCATTAGCCTATTAAAATATTAAAAATTGTTTTTTGCATGCCTATAGAAATGAAGTAGTATGATGTGATATATATTTTTCATTTATGATATACTTTTTCTACCTAAGTTCAATTCAGATTTTTCATTTTGAAATTTAAATTCATAATAAGAAAGGTGTAAGAATATAATAAATGAATCATCTTACCTGCCTATATATTAGAAAAGATAGGAGCACTTGTGACTATGTTTGCACTTGCTTGGTGGAATGCTCACTCTACTAGAAATCAAGTGTAAATAATATGCTAAAATCTCCATATAGAATATGCTTTAAACTTACATTATCTTATATAGGCTATTGTTTCAAGTATGCGAAAAAAATTTATTATCATCTTGAAAGAGAGAGATAATGAATAAGTTTGTTATAATGATGATGCCTACTTGTATGATGGTTATAAATCCTATTAATAAAAAAATTTTCTTGGCAAAAGAGATCTGCATTTCAAATTAGAACAGACACGTGACTTTTTATTTTGAATATTTGTATAAAAGTGTTATCAAAGATAAAATCTAAGATTAACTTACTTAAACAAGAAAATGCTAGACTTATGGCCAAGAATTATAAGCTTGAGACTAAGATCATAAAGTTAAGTCAAATTATTGAGAAGAATGCTAAGTTTAATATAAAATCAAAGAACTAGAGCAAAAAAATACAAAGCTTGAGACCAGGTATATTATATGATGCAGTTACCAAGACTATTGTTTTAGAACCAGAATATATTTTGGCTCTAGTATGAATTTAAGGCGTGATTATGAAATAAATAAATTGTTTATAGCCCTAGAATGGCAGTTTTATGACTAAATATTTTTTTCACTTATCATATATACCTGCAAAATTCAAAATTTTTTTTATTAATACATGCTAAAAATAAATACAAATATTCAGGACTTTGTCTGTGATATATGAAGATTATGCTATTATACATGATTATTTTTCGAATGATATTCTTCTATTCTAGCCTTCTTTTTATCTGGTTTTTCACCTACACACTCTAACCTATCTTTCAATAGTCTAACGATAACCTCTATAACCTGTTTCACATTTTTACATAAGTTTTTTTCTTCCTTTGATCTTTCCTTCAAGGCTGATTTGGTAAATCAGATATTGATGGGATTCTTATTTGTACTTGATATTCTATCTGATGCGAAAAGAATAAAATACCAATCTGAGGCTGTCGTAATGATACCATAGATATAATTGAAGTCTTTTTCAAATGCTTCCCTAACTTACGCTTTTTATTCTTTTTATTAACTTGCAAGATACTTTCACATTAGACTAGATTTTAGGCAAAGCTTATAGTTACTTGATGCAACTTCTCTTCCATTATGCGAATAAGTTCTTTGAGAATTTTGATTGCATAATTAACCTGACTGGTACTTTCTTCTTCAATGACTTCAAGCTGAGAAACTAAGGTAAACTTTTCTTTTTCAGTTATTCTTTGATAACATAAGCAAAGCGTAAAGGATAGTTGAAATATATTCACAACGTATAGCTTCATTGCTGTTAGCAAGCAAGGTACCCATATTTTATATTTTGCATTTTATTTCCTTCATCATCATCTTCGAATTTATAAGTCGCCTAGATGTCAGACTGGAGAAAAGAGAATAATGAATTATTTATACTGATCATAAACGTAAATTATTGAGCGAACTCCTGCAGTAATAAAAAACTCATTGGTAGAAATTAATAAATAGTGCCTATACTATTACCGTCAATACCGTATTTCGTCAACATCTCCTTCAAACTGCGATAGATTGAGAATGCACGCTTTAGCTTTTCTTTAAGAGTCTGAACCTCTTTTGCAAGTTTCATAGCTGATCTTATTTTCAATTCAGCTTTTATAAACTTTTCTTCTGTCGTATCAAGGAAAAAAAACCATTAATTTTTTCTTTGCGAAGTATTCCTAAGTCATCGTCGTTGAGCTTGAGGTTTTGCTCTTTTAAAAAATCGATAAGGGTTTTCATATTCCAGTTCTCAACCAAGTAAGAGTTGTATTCAGTTGTTGAGGTAGACATAGCGCTTTTATATGGTTATTAGATTTAGACAAAAAATAGTGTTATGTTCTAGAGTGAAATAAAAATTTATTTTTGTTCAGAAAAGAAAATACTAGGCGTTAATATATGATTTTATATTGCACAGGTATTGCATCATTACATGAGACCCTGCTTCCTATATTCATTCGATAAAATAATTTATGAAATAAAAACGGCCAGCTTACAATACATAAAAATTGCAAATAGATCACTTTACATAATGTGAATAAAAAAAAATACTAATAATCTTTGCTTAGAATCTCTGGCACCGTTTCAGTAGGAGGATACACAATAACATTGATTCCCTTTTCCGGAATAGATATGTTGGGGTTGAATGGAAAAATGAATTCTATCTTGTGGTTCTATTTCTACTAACCTCTACTATGAATACGTTGCAAAATCCGTTAACCAATCCTAAAGCATGATCAATCTGGGAATTGAGTATGCTGATCGGTGATCAATCTAAACGCCCATTTTAAAACGCGATCCACATCGGAAAGTTCGGGTTACACAGCCTCGTTAGCCAATCATAAAATCAATAGGTTCTAATTTTTAGTCGAACCTCGTCTATATTATCAAGCATTTCCTATACTACCATGTCTGAAAGTGTTAATTTAATGCCATTCGTCTGTAAATGGTTAGATATTCATTCAGATCCACAACACTTCAAAACCAAGGAGAAACTTAGAAATCATATCGTTCAACATGACATCAGTTCTTGCAAAGGATCATTTCGAGGAGACACAATTTATATATGTCCGTGGAAAGGTTGCAATAAATGTCAAAGTAGTATTATTAAATTAGAAGGTATAAAAATATGTCAAATATTTTTTGGTTTTGCTAGCTCCGTCGATTCAATAATAATTATTATTGTGTTTTGCAGACCATTTACATCGACACATTCAACAAGAACCATTCAAGGTAATCAATATTTTACTTGTTACTTTGTTTTGTAAGTACAAGAGTGACTGAAATAATTGCATTGACCTTCTTTTTTAGTGCCCAATTTGCAATCATTCGCGATTTGATTCCCCTGATGCGCTAAGCCAACACTTGATTATGAACCATAATGATAGCATTGTGGACTCTGACACCGATTATGAAAATGAAGAATTGAATTTAGGTATTTTACCACAATTCTCTCCAATCTAGCATGGATTGCAGTTAGAATTTACATCAAAGATCCACGTATCTTTTAATTAATAACAAAATAATATCAGTCTATTAAAAACTACCCTTGTTAAATATACATGAATAATTTCACTTGTCCTTCTTTCTTATTAAAGGAAAATTCGAAGATAAAAACAATGTTCATGTGAAGAAAGAGGTCAGCAAAGATGAAAAAGATAAAATTATACCAATAAGCAATACCACAAAATTATCTTATCGTGATGTTCTCATTAAAGGAAGAGTCAATGAAAATAAAAACACAGAGGATCTTAAGTCTTACGAACATGAAAAGGCCATGTGGAATTCATCTTGTCATGATGTTCTCATTAAAGGAAAAGTCAATGAAAATAAAAACGCAGAGGATCTTAAGTCTTACGAAGATGAAATGACCATGTGGGATTTAATAGATAAAGGGATTGAAATCATCTCATTATTACCGGAGAGTCCAGTTAATGAATATGATTTTGATAATGATGATTTACCCATTGCACCACGGGGAAAATTGACCGAGACTGAAGAGGAAAAACTTATGTGGAAAGCAGTTTGTGAAAATTACAAAGATACAGAGGCTGGTAAATATTTTAATAAGGCCTTTGAAATGATGGAAAGCAAATCTTGAGCATATATATGTCATTTATTATATCAAAGGTTAAGAATGTCAAAATGAACTACATTGAAATAGAAATAAAATATTAAGGATTAGTTCCTTCTATAAAACCATCTCACACATCCTTCAAATGCTTTCTGAAAACCTTGCGGTTTATCAGGAGCAATATCTAATAACTTAAGGGCGTCCTGCTTCTGCTTAAAAAGTTCTGGTCCGGTTGTACCTCTATTTAGTTTTTCTAAGTGTATTAGTAAATCTAACCTTAACTCTTGCATCTTTAAAATGTTAGTAATACAAATGACCAAAATACTCGAATTTTCTATCATCCGATAGGCCTCTATTGTAGTCTTCTACTACGACATTGTACCACTCTCCTATTATGTGACAAATATCGATCATTGCTTCAAACTCTTTCTCACCGAAACATGGGTCTAGCAATAATTAAGTTTAACATAGCCAAGTATCTCTATTAATAAACAAAGATATACTCATACAGTACATACTTTTTTTATGCTTTTCAAATATTATCATAGCATCATCAGAGCCGATTGCTTTGGTCCACAAATATTCAGGAATATTTGAACGTTTTGTTGGCTGACCTCTAATTACATATTTGATCCACGTAATAGTATCATTTGGATCAATTTGAACATTGTTCTTTTCTTCCATGCATTCACCGTTCTTTTCATAAAATCTCGCCATTTAATAATAAAAAAAAAGAGTAAGTTGAAGTTGTTTGTTAGTATAGGAGAATTTATCAATAAAAATGGATCACAGTTTTCAATTTATAACAAGACCTTATATATGGTACGTTGATCTCAATTCCGATTTTTGTTATCTGCAACCAAATGGCTGAAAATTAGTAAATCGGTATTTTGTATTCACGTGATATGAAGCTCTCGTATTACTGCGCATAGCATATACTGCAGTATAAAATGCACGCACGCGATTCAAAAACTTGTGGACGTTCACAGGAGGATCTCTTCCAACAGACGCGTCAAATGCAAAATTAAAGAAAAGTGAATTTTAGCGAAATTTAGCTACGGAACTAAACTTACCAACTGGTTCTGAGTTCTGACCTTAGAAATGATGAGCTCTCTCTGAAACTGATGTTGATGTATCCAAGGTAAATTATGCCATGATTTAATTTTGATGTGATGTGAAAATTAGAAATAAAACCACGAGTAACATCATTTTTCGATTCGGCGCTGTCGTTCCAATTTGGAACGCAGATCACTTTTGCCAAGAAAAATTCTGGGCACGCATGTCCACTATATAACTGATTGCCAAAAATATCTACATTCGATTAATGTTTTATTAATATAAGATAAAAAAATAATTACAAGTGCGGGACCTTGCCCGGATTACATGACGTCTACATGATTAAATATTACAGAGTATAGCTACCTACAACCTAAGGCTTATTTTTCGAACGATACCCTTCTATTTTAACCCTCTTATTCTCAGGAGATTCGTCCTCACACGCCCTATCCTTTATTAAACCAACGATAGCACTCAAAACCTTCTTCCCACCATTACGCAATGTTTGATACTCCTCGGTTCTTTTTTCTAGAGCCTCTTTGTTAAACTCGATGGTATATGGAATTTCACTCGCTTGACTAATCTCGCCCGGACTGTAAAGCAGAAAAATGCCAATCTCTGGCCGAAGTCACGATACCATAGAGGTAGTCGAAATCATCATCTACACTTTTTCGTTTCCTCTTGTTCGTTTCATACGAGCTCTCGAGCTGTTTGATATTTTGGACGAAGCCTTCGAGTATGCTACGCTGGACCTTTTTCTTCTGTGACACAAAGAAGGTTCTCGGCCTCCTATCCACCCATTTACATAGATCATGGTAAGTGATCAAATATTATAAGAAAAAAATCAACTCATGATAACTAGGAATCCTCATACCTCGATTGCATAATCAAAGTATGGTCGAAACGTATTCATTACGCATAGATTCCAACTATCCAAAACCAATGACCCATAATGTTTCATCCTGAACAAAATATTCACGCATTCTCCGGAGATCATTTTTTATCTCCAGGATTTCAGGGTTATTATTTCCCCTAGGCCTTTCTCGGCGAAAATAGATGAATAAGGCCACAAGACTTATATAGATGATTATATTTCCGGAAAAAAAAGCCTGGAGCATATCTAGCGTTATGATGCCTCGGAGGAGCATCTCATAGATGATGAATACGATAGTGAAGAGTGCAATAGAAAAAATTTCAAATTTCGAAAGCATTTTGCGGAATAGTTTTAGAAAATGATAAATTATGTAGTTTGATAGTTCGAAGAGTCTGGGCGACTTCGGCAAAAATATATATATTTGATTTTATTTTTTTTTCTTACCTAGGCCTTCCTATACATCCACCATTTTTATAATTATATTCCTTCCGCAGTTGATCATCGCAAAACATGAAGTCCCTGGATCTTCGCTGGGTGATCTTATTGTCCAATGCTGAGTTGCAAATTAACCTAGCGGGTGATCAGTCAAAGGTGTTTCGCCAAAAATTTAATGCTATTCATATGTAAAGATCATCAAGGGGCTATACATATTTTTGAGAATGTGCGAGAAAGTTTGAGAATAAATTATTTTGCGCAGTTGCTTGTTCCCGTGATACATGTAACGATTACCATAATATTACTGCGCATTATTTATCGAGCTACAATCGATCTACAAGAAATACTGAAGCAGGATCAGCATCTGGTTAATGTTTTTTATGCATATAAGATCAGCATCATACTTGGCTGGATTGTATAATGGCAAATTTCAAAAAAAATCTTTTATTAATACGGCATGACTTACTACGCAAAAATAAATATAAAAGATCGGGACTATGCTTGCGATACATTATATCTATTTTAATATACATGATTAATTTTTTAGAACGATAGGCATGCATAATCCCTTCTTCGGATTGAATGGTAGATCAAGATCGGTACCATCAGATGGTAACGGTTTATTAATATCAGATTTTAGCAAATTTATAGCCTCTTCTAATCCCTTAGCCGATTCAATTAATCCGATTAGCTATGTGTCTTAAAAAAATAACTGAATATTTATTGTATCAGAAAAAATCTTACAATTATGTAAGTATTGCGATTTGCCTCCTCCGATTGTATATATGCACCATATCACTAATCTGGATCACTGGAATGAATTAGATTCTGTGATTTTGGTTGCAAAAAAGACAGGTTAGGTGTACGTTCCCTTTGATATGCTTCAAATTATTATGAATTTGATCTACTGTCCATTGTAATATGTCTCCTGGCTGATCCCATTCAAATTTCATTTCTATAAGGCATAATGTGCATCTGTCTTCTTGAATACGTTTTAATGTGAGAATATAGTCAACTGTTAGATCGAATTCACGGCCTTTTTCCTTGTCCTAGCCCATATATCTGATAAGTTTTTCCTGAATAGACGGTCTTAATTCGTGCTCTAGTTGTCTTTTCTTTTTTGCCTCCTTAATTTTGTGGGCAATTTCAGGAGATAATGGGGATGTTTCGACCTGAATGATTTGGCTTAAATATTCCACATGACCAACTGCTAAATATATTAGATTATCCCAAGCTAGGTTTTTATCGATGATCCAAACACTCTGTAGAGCCTTGGGGGTCATTCTTTAACTAGTATAAATAGTCATAGCATATCCAAGTTCCTAATTTATGTCTTTATTATCCATCAACATATCTTTTAAAAATTTATCAGGGAGTGTATTTAAAAGTAAGTTTACTATATCATTTTTCACTAACTCTTTCTTTTTGGATGAGCCAGGGATTAAAACAAGACAATTTTGTTTGTGTTTATCTCTTGGTCTATAGATTAATGGGATCAGCATATTAGAATATTTTTCTTGATGAAGTTTTAAGCATCTTTGAAAAGCAATTCTTCGGGAAAGTAGATGTACTGATAAGATATGATCTGATGGCTTCCATTCAGCTTCGAGATATTCTCATTTTTTTGTGACTGAAAGTGCTTCACGAAATAGGTCTAACTGTACTCAGTTATTTTAATATCGCATTTTTTTTTAAGTTCTTGCAGTCTTGGGCATTTGGTCTGATAATCAGTCAAGATTTCCTTATAATAATCAGCTTGCTCTTTTAACCAGTTATGGAGTATTCCTCTGAAAAATGGGGTCTTTGCAATAGAAAGGGAGGAAACTCCAAAAAAATTAAAATTTTAGTTTATAAGCCAAAAATATTCTAAATACTATAATTTGTTCAGATTTATTATTAACTCATTTTTTATTTTTTTTGAGTTTCCTCCCTTTCTATTGCAAAGGCCTCAAATGGTGGAGGTTAAGCGTTATTCTCGTAACAGATTATCTAACATTTTTGCTTTAGTAAGTAGTTGATAAACTTTTCTAGAATATGTCTAGGCACTATACATACTTCATCCTAAATGACAACTTGTGAGAATTTCTTTTCTTCCATGCGTTTAGAAATCCACTTTCCTATACCATTCCACCTAAAGAAGCCATACCAAGTTTGGATTTTTACTTTACGATCATTTTAAAAGTCTTTAATCAATACATTTGTATGAGTAAAGACTATCATGTTTATATCTTTAAAGATTCAGATTACGCATGTTATCTTTTCAGAATTATCACTTCCATTAAGATATGAAACTCAAGATCTTATAATAGAATCATGAATTGATAGAGCAGTACTCTCAGTAATATTTTTAATCAATTTCTGATGCTTATTTTTTGGCCAGTATACGATATTAGGATCTGATCTATGAATCTTTTCACCTTTATCATGCCATTAGCCAGGCTGAATTTCTAAATCTTTTTCTCTTTTAGTAGCTCAGATTCTTTGGTAACAACTCTACTGGATTTGGTATTCTTCTAAGCAAAAATACCATTCCCCAATGCAAATGGCATATATAAATAGCTTATGCTCATTGCATGATAAATAGCCTATTATTCTATTCACATAGTGGACCTTCACTTCTTTGATAAATTTTTTGACTTCTTCTTTTGAATAAAAGACTCTGCTTCACATATTGCACAAGAAGAAATTTTATGCGAATATTGAAACTTACTGGTATTTGCCTTTCCCTTATAATTGAGAAGACATTTAGCTTGTTTGAAAAAGGCAGATACATTTTCAATCTTATATAAGGCTTCTCTTTGTATATATATAGAATCTATTGTGATTCTTATCACTTTATTAGGACCAAATCTTCTAAGCATTTCTAGCAAATTTATATGAGCATAAGCCAATATTAAGGCTTATAAATATGTGTATTGGGACTGATGTTTCTTGTAATATGTAAGTATATACCCAAGCGAACATTTATCATTACTAGCATATGTCTCTTCTTTAATACAATCCTGAATCAAAAAATCAAGCTCACCTTCATCTATTACAACTCAATAAGTAAGACATTTTTTCTCAATTTTACTTCTCTGTGTAAACTTTTCTATGATTGCATAACTTATATCCTGATTTTTAAGAAACCATATCTTTGTTTGCTTAGTAAGAGAAATAATTGCTTCCTCAATAGTTACACTTTCTAGGATGCCTGCAAGAAATATTGTAGAAATACAATATGGATCCTTTGTCTTTTCACATCCTTCTCCACTCTGACAAGCAAAATGTTTTCCATACTAGACCGGAATTGCTGAATGAATATTAGAGACAAATTTAAAGGATTTATTTATGCAAATCCAGTTATATCGTC